ACGGAACTGACAGCTCCCGAACCCCAGTAGAGCATTCTCAGCCACACAAACAAACATGCAGATATCTCACAGCCTCTGAATCTGCACAGCTCTCAGCAGACATACTCACAGCCACTATGTTTCCTATATCTGCTTGTTTATTATGAGTATGCTCTTGTGAGTATGAGTACTTCTTATTATGAGTATGAGTACTTCTCTTGAGTATGCTCTGTTTGCACTTTCTCTTTCTGGTTCTTTCTCCATTATCTCATTTAGAGGGAGTTCAGTTTTCTGCTTAATGCATCTTCAAATACAAAGCTAATTTATGTAGCAGGAGGCCTTTGAAGAATATCTTCCATCTCACCTGGGTGTTTGTAAACCAGAGCGTGAGTTCATCCCATGCATGGTCCCAGTGCTGCAGGTTATGCATTTTAAAGAGGTTCTCTATGAATCTCCCCACCGGGGCTCGTCCTGTCCATGTACTCTGCATAATAATCATGGATTTGTGACATTCTTTTGATATGCTGAACACATAGAATAAAAGAAGGGTTGGAGTTTCTGACCCAGCGAAAGCCCCTTCTTTCTTTTGCACTGCAATCCCCATCACCTTTTTGACCTTTGATTAATGTCCACAAAACAGCATAATTGCACGACTGAAGGAGAAAGAATGGAAAAGATGAGGAGGCTGTTTTGGAATCTCTTTGATGTTTGTCTCTCTTTTAGCCCAAACTTCTCAAACAGAATATAAATGACATAAATGTCTGACTGTTGTAATCTCTCTCATCTTTATTCTCTGAACTTTAGCTGTTGATCTTTGTAAACAGTTGTCAGTCCTGAACGCTCAGCTACATCTTAAACAAATACTTTATTTGATAGACATAATACTTTTTAAGGCCAAAACTGATCCTTTGCTAGTGTTTGGTTAACGTAACCATACAGCTTTGAGCAATTACTATAGAACCTAACTGTGTAAATACTTCCCGTAGCTAGTTATGTTCCCGTGCTGTTCCCTTTCAGTCGTTCCCTTTTTTTGTGCAGAGAAATTACATACTTTTTAAAGAGTTTAAGTCTTTCCAGCAGAAAAATAAGGATATACTTCCTCTTCAACTATTGGTCAGTTGCCTAGGTTGCAAGCTTGTCAATCATCTCTTCAGATTCTCAAGTCGTTTTATTTTCCTGTTGCCTCGCTGTTAAAATTACACCAATCATAAAATTATTTAGTGTGTTCCAAACCACAATATTAATACTCTTTCCAATTGATGGACCCAAGATGTCTGATATTTCTCACAATCCTTAGTAAGATGGCCATGAATTTAAATTATAATTTTCCAAAGTTTTTCAGTTATCTTTGATCTGATATATTTTTTTTGGAGCAAAATGTTTTGTTTTTCAAGTTAAATAGATTATTGAACAAAATTTTAAATATTGAGCAAAATCAACAAGTGAACGTTTCTTCATTTTTAGTTAAAATAAGTCAATTTTTGCTATTGTTCAGCATGAATGAATAAATCTCATTTCACATACTTAGTCTGGATAGTGTGCATACTGGGACTCACGGTGAGCAAGACCAAACGCTCCATGGGAAAATTGCCCTCAGCCATTCGCCTGCTTGATATGTGCTCATGTTAAAGGACAGCTCACTGTGTAGTCCATGCCATTCTCCTGCTCATAAAAGAAACCCCACGTGTTTGTGTGACAGATTTAAAGTGATTTACAGTGATCCGAGTGCTTTTTGACAGCCATTGAGTTCCATGGCTTCAGCGCCTACAGGGAGGCCAAGTGATTTATCAAATTTCAGCTATTGATCGAAACTGATAAACATTTAAATTTTAATGCCAAGCATCCCTTATCGCATGTTAGCAGCTTACATCATAACAACAAAACATTCATCTTCAGTCAGACTTGAAGAAATGTGCATTATATGGCTAATATAGATTAGAGGCAGAAAAATAATTTATATACAGTATGTTTACACATGTGTTCGACAGAAAGAGCTGGCAATTATCAACTTAAACAAACAATGGCTGATTTTCCCCATCCAGAAAGCAATTCTACTCTTAGAGAGGCTGCAGTTAGTATGTCACAAAGACTTTGATTGTAGAAAGAAACTGTGGCATGTAGTTATAGTTCAACAAAGGCTAAGCAACCATTTTGACAAGCATCGATTTTAAAGCCTCATTATCGCTTTCAAATTGTTTGATTTCCAGGCTCTTCCAACATGCACAGACATTCCAGATTTCCTTTGTGATGTGTTAGAACATCTCTTCATCATGCTTTTGCAGTTGTGTCTGTGTGCTCATAATGAATAATGAGAGCCGAGTGGTTTCCTCTGTGAAAGAATAGACCACAATAGATCAGAGCCACTCGTCCTGGCCTGAGGGAGGACACAATGCTGGAAGACTCCAGAAACGATCAAGGGGGGTTTGGAGTACGAGATGAATGGGCAGGGAAGACGTAGTCATTTTCTTGAAAAACAGAACGGCTAAGGGTGCCAAGCAAACAAGGGGAACTTGTTTTTAGAAGCATTTGAAAAAGCTCTCTGGCTGCCTGAGATAAAAGTGTTGCTCAGGGTAGAGATAATCACCTCTGGGTCAAGTTCAAATAGAACATTTCCTTTCTTTGTGATTTAAATCGCTAGAAGATATTAAATTAATGTGACACTTGGGATGGATTGCATGGATGGTTGTGTCTCTAAATGCAAGGAGTTTCTTCTTGAACCGTCAAACTTTCTGAAGAATCTATAAACTGTAGTATTAAGCAAAAATCATTCATTCATTGAAATCTGAATAACTCACCTTTGTTTGAGAAAAGCTTATGTTACTGCCCCAATTTTTTTGGCTCAGCATCCGGTGGCCTTAGACCAGAGTCATGGCAGGACATGGCATTGGCCTCCTAAAGCTTGGAGGTCTGTTATTGGACATATGGCTTCAGCTAAAGACCCAAGCCATTTCCTCAAGCCAAGTTAGTATAGGGATTGCTGTGCTGGTCTCAGACCACAAAGGGGTCATAACAACTGCTTCAGAATGAACCCTCCCTTGCAGTAATCTAGATCCAACTGGAAGGTTAACAAGGCAGATTTAAAAAGTTTAACTTTATCAACTTTTTTGATGAATTTGAGTAAAAATGTGTTTTCATTTGCACAAAAGGGGTTTGAGGAAAATTTAAATTTTTGTTCCAAACTTCATTCAGCTGTGCTTCATTTAGTGGAGTTATCACATTTTGAGAAAAAAACCTGAGTGGCGTTTATTGCGCTTTGGAAAAAAGCACTGCAGCACTGCATTACATGGCAAGTATTGTGATTTTTTTAAGGGGGGGGGGGTTGATTTTCAAATGGGAACTCTTTTTATGGCATTTATCACGTTTTGGAACCAATGTTGAGGATGTTTTTGTCATGCATATAGTGTGTTGTATTTATGTTTGCATTTAGGATAACTAGAAACCAGCAAACATCCACTGAACCTACTCTAAAAAAACACTGATTTGACCACTCATGAACACACAAGACATTAGACATCTCTCTGTCACTTGGAGCAAGGCTAAGCTGAGATTCCATGTCCAAAGACTTGGGTTTCGAAATGTGTAACATTTATACAAATCACATTTTATCTACTGATGTGTCGATTCATCTGCTCTTATGTACAGTAAAATGTTGTTTTAATATTGAATTATGTTTATAACGCACAATTTAAGACTAAATTAATTGTCAAACTAGCATGTCTATCCCCTGTGACTTTTTTTTGTTATTTCAAGCATTTTAAACATTTATTGAAACATATTAAAATTGACTTTTGGAAATTGTCAATTTGAAGCGTGCAATTATCTATTTGGTTTTTTTTTATTAATTAATTTGCTTACTTTATAATATAATTGATCATTTTTTTTAAATAAATCACCTAAAAATAAAGCAATAGAAATGAAAAAAAAAGCAGATTTGTCTTATTTTTGAAGTGAGAACACCTTGTGTAAAAATATATAACAAGCTATTTGCTTGAATGAATTTTGTCAACATTAATAAAGCTTCACAATTATGACTCTTGAGCCCTTGAATGTCAACATTAATAATAAAGCATTTGTTTGAATGTTGGGAATTTGTAAATAATAGCTAAATGTCTTTTTCTAAGAGAGATCGATTATTCATTTGGACAAAATTATTTATAGCAGCTGTCTCAACAAAACATGATCTATGATCCTAACATATTGTTATTTTGCTGATAGAGCTGGTTTAGATTATGAGCATGAACCATTTTAAGGGTCTGTCTGTCCGCTTGACTGGATTAGAATGATAAATGATGGCCGATACTCTAAAAACATTAACAGTAATGGCTTTATTCATTGTACACTATTGCAATTACTAAACATCACGAGCAGACCCGAGCTCGCTCGTTATTTTCTACTTTTACTTACAATTTACAAATTTTGCAACTGTGGAACAGAGATTGCCTCAGTGAGAGTTGAGGTTGGGGTCAGATGTGTGCAAAGACTATAGATCTTACCTTTACAAATTTCCTTTTAAGTATTATTAACATTTGTGAACAAATTGTGCACCATTGCTTTTAAAGCACGCATTAATTAGATGTTGATTTAATGTTGTACAGTAATTTTAAAAAGTAAATTCCTTATTACTTTATTACTTCACTGAAAAAAAATAAAACGTTGAGTCAACCTTGAGGTTTACCAATCTGTACAAGGAGATACCAAACATTGTGCAAAAGTATTTGAAAGCTAGGCAGGCTCTAGTGGAGGTCAAAGCTCACCATTGACTTATACATGTCAGAGGCTTTTGAAGTATTTGTTTAGTCAAGAATGTAAAGATATGTTAAAGTTCCTTTTTCACCTTGCTGTTTTTGAGCTCTTTCCTTCCTATTGCCTGATTTCACTCTTCTTTCATTCTTCCTAGCTCTCTTTCCTTGACTGCTTTTACCCTTTATAAGGTGTCTTTCTCCTCCACTCCTTTCATTTCGGCAGATGCTTTTATCCAAAGCAACTTACATTTGAAGGAACACATTGCTTTGATCAGTTCCTGCTTTCCCTGGGATTCGAATCCTCGACCTTTGGATTGTTAGCGCAATGCTCTACCAACTGAGCCACCTTTGCGGAATCATACAGTTGACCAGGACCTTTGTCAGACTGGTTGGTGAGAATACTATCTGGAATTCTACGTGTGAGTTTTGATAAATCCAGTTCTGTGTTCTTAGTATTACTAGTTAGCTTAGCTCTTCTCAGTTTTAGTTATTTCAGGTTTTCCCTGTTTTTGGTTTGTTCCTGTCTGTTTATTAAAGTGTCCATTTGAATTGTGCATCTGAGTTCTGCCTTTTTCTTACGAGGTAAACCACAAGAAACATTTTATATAAGATTGTTTTTTTTTATACGAAACAACTTCTGTTCAAACAATGACGCATTTATTCTGTAATTAACTCAACAGCTTTTGTCTTTTAATTCTCATGAATTGTTGCAGATAATTGGCTGATCCCAACATTCTAAACTCTTCACAGTGCTGTTATTTTACCTCCCCTGTAGTGTAGATTGGGCACAGAATTCTCTTAAAACCTGCTGCTGTGGGGTCATTTTTCAGTTTGCCAAGTCTGAAAGAATTTACACACAATTTACTGGAAATAGGTGATTACTGTAATGAATTACTTTGTAATGCATTGCTCCCAGCACGGGTCCTGTGCAGTCTTAGTCTTTTTGTATATCTAATGCCAACCACAGATTAGCCACAGGACCACTCACTCTAAATACAGCTTTATAGTGTGTGTGTGTGTGTGTGCGTGTGTGTGTGTGTGTGTGTGAAATTAGCACCACAAACAGTTCCATCTTTCATGTAAACACATCTGCAGGCACTTGAGTTGTCTGGCTGGCCTGTAATAAAGCCCTGCCACTGGATATTTTCCAGTCGCATTTCTGTCTTTCTCTTACCTTCCCTTTCACCTCATGATGGGTTGCCTAGCAGTTGCGGGTTAACCAAGCAATGCCATCTGGCCCTGCAAAACAGTTCCCGCTGTTCAAGTCTTAACCTGCAAACACCTGCCAAGGCTGTGAATTCTGCGTCACCTTGATTATACAGGGCCCGAAGGGCTGTTTGTCTGCTGTATGTGACCCGCTCTCTGACAGACTGCATGTCTAATGAAGTGAGTGCTGCATCACTGATAAGAGTGCGTATACCTCACTCTATGAGGTTTCTGCAGATAAGTTTGCCCCCTAGAACTTGTGTTTGATTCGCTTTGTCCAGCATTGCTTCTATCAGCACAAAGTGGCACCCAATATGTCTTGATTGTTTTTAGAAATGGTCCCTGCATGTCTCAGCTGACCTCTTGTGATCCCTAACAGGGCGAAATCTTCAATTTTCTCTTTTGTGTTTATCCCTGGTCTGTAAAGTGAGAAACCTCCATGCTGAGAGTAGAACAGAGAGTTTAATACGAGATTTTTTTTTTGCTGTGCAGTTTTAGACAGGTGTGAAATACTACAAACAAAGATTGTTTTCAAACATGTTTAATTTTCAACCATGAAAAAAATACAGTGGAAGAACTAAAGAGAAATTGATATCAAATCAATATTTGCCTTTAAACTGTTATTGGAGGATCTCTGCTGGGAGGCTGTTCCATATTTTATATTTATATTATAAATGATTGTTTGATAATTGTAAGTATTATTAGTGTTGGGACAAAACATTTTAAATATATAGAGATATACATGTTATTTAATATAATACATTTTAAGAATTGAGTCCAAGAATCTGATTCACTGCACATTAAATTATATTCAAATGAGAGAAGCAGGGAAAAACAAAGGGTTAATGTGATGGATGGATGGATGGATGGATGGATGGATGGATGTTAGAAAGAAAGGAAAATGCACAAGCAAAGATGAAAGGACCTTGGTGAGGAGGAAAGTAAAATGAAAGAAGATGCATGTCATTTATTCATTGCATTTCTGAGCAGCGGTTATGCTGAATGAAAAGTAAAACAGTTTCCACACACAGGAAGCGATGCGACCGCCAGGAGGAGAATGTTTGTGCGTGTGTCTGTCTGTAGGCATTAGCTTTGAATTCAGCCCACTCAGCGTTTCCTTATCAAAGTTTATAATCAGCCTCAAAAGGGGCTTTGGATATTCATCTGAGATTTCCATACATTTCTTTTGAATGTAAGGCAAAGTAGAGTAATGCATTCACAAAATGTGAGTTTCAGCATATCCAGGTCAGTAAGATCAATCTTTTTTGCACAGTTTGCTAGAAATAGATACTACGGCAGAACACTATGCTCAGAGCTCCTGACTTTTTCATAATATGATGTAATAAAAATGTGATTGTGAAACATCCAGCTTAGGTCAATAGCTCTTGTGCAATTTTAGAAATCATAAGTTAGTGGACCTAAGTTCAATGCCTTTAGTGTTTAGTTTTTTGCTTGCCTTCAAGTTTTCGTCATGCTCTAATTTGAATTAGATATAGTCGATGAACAATTGGTTTGGAGCATTAGCTTGTTGCAGTCCTCTTGTGACTAAACCCATCATATGTAGAACCAGGCCCGTCATTGAGCTTACTGCAATGCAATAGTGTGTATTGACACAGTATTAGTATCAGGGGTTGTAATAATGACCAAAGTCCTTGTGGTCCTCCTGAGGCCTGTGTCACTGTGTCTGTAACTTGAGACGTTCCTCTCAAAACGGCTCTGAGATTGTGAGGTAATAATTATCTGGAGTAAATGGATTCATCAGGGATTTTGCAGGTGTATTGATTTGTGTATATTTCCTGATTATGTCACTATTCATAGAAGACATTTTTTCAAGGATACTCTTCTGTTTAGGATTTTTGAGACATTTACCATTTACGACTAATGTTGATGACCTATTTTAGAAAAAGTAGGGATCAGCCGAGTAAGACAGTCATGTCATGTGACATGATTTCTGCTAGTACATTTACTGTAGTAAAATCCCTGGGTCATGACTTCGTTCCATGGACCATGAGAAATCAATAATAATCGCTACTGTGCACTGCCTGTATTAGATGTTTGGGAAAGCTCGACATTTTTCACACTTGTGCCATGTGTCAAAGGCCATGATCTTCTTTATTAAAGGGACAGGGGAAGACTCAATGTGAGCAGACTAATGTGTAGTCCTTCTGTTCCTTAAACACTCTCAAAATCACTGAGCCAGAAGAAAGATCTTATTCTAATGGAGGAGCCATTTCATCTATTTATTTCTTCATAAACACATGGAGATAAACAAAATTATTCATCCATATATTTGCTTTTTCTGCCAGGATCAAGGGGTCCATAGTCTATCGCAGGGCCACATACACTCACACATTCACTCCTAAGGGGAATTTCGAGTAACCAAATTACCCAAGACATGCTTTATGGCTTGTGGAGGAAACCTATTAACTGTGAGGCAGCAGTTAGACTTGCGATTGATTGATTGATTGCTTGCTTGATTGGTTGGTTGGTTGGTAGGTAGGTAAGAAGGCAGGAAGGTAAGTAGGTAGGTAGTGTAATAGATTTTTTTAATCCCCAATAGAATAATGAAGATGTGAATAGACTCAAAGATCAATCAAAACCACCTTGGTTGGTTGGTAGGTAGTGTAATAGACTCTTTATTCTTCATCAAACAATTGAAAAGCCTCAAAGATCGACCAAAATATTTCTATACATATTTTTTAATTACAGTAGTTTGGTAGGAATGTGGGTTGCTTGGTAGGTTGGTAGGCAGTGTAATAGACTTTTTATTCTCCATTAAACAACGAAGACTTGAATAGATTCTAAGATCAATTTCTATTACAGTAAGTTGGTAGGTATGTAGATTGGCTGGTAGGTAGGTATGTAGCCAGGCTAGTTGCTTGGTTGGTTGATTGATTACTTTTTATATTAACACATTTAAATATTTTCTAGCCAAATCAGTGCTTCAAAAAGATGTGCGTTATAAATGTCTGTACATTTGTGAAAAATATTTAAATCTGCTTATTCCTGGTTGGCAATAAAGGGTTCTCCAGCTCACGCAGGGCAAAATATTGACTGGCTGCAGTTTACCATTGTATACCTTAAAAGGATTATTTTGCCTTTTTTTTTCTAGAGCACATTATGATTATTTATTTTTTTAAATATGTTTATTGGTTTTTCATTTTTTTCTTAACAGATAGGACAGTAGAGGGAGACAGGAAGAGAGGGGGAGAGAGAATGGGGTGGGATGGGAAAGACGGCAGGCTCAGGACTCGAATTCCTGCGCACCGTCCACTATACCATGGGCCAGGACCACATTATGATTTTTAACAATATTTTCCATGTAGTGTTTTAACAGTGGTTGAATTTTAACTTCTGCTACTACATTTCAAGTGCTTTATATGTATAACTTAGTGATCATTTCTGGCTGTTCTAATTAAAAAAATGTTGTTATGCATTTGGTAATAACACTCAATAATAAGTCTCAAACACGTTATTGATGCATACTGAAACGGAAAGATTCCAGTAATCATTGCCAACTTTATTCTGTACATCATTATTCGCTCCAATGAATTGTCACATGGATCCGAATGGAATGTGGGATGTGGATCTGAACGTATGCTTGCTGACCAACATCTGCAGCACCATCTGCACAGTTCCAATAATGTGATCGATAGCAACAACTGGAGAATAGAAGACACACAACTGTCTGCATCACATGATTCAAAGGCATCACTTCCTGAACAAATGACGACGACTCCTCCTTAATCTGTCTACACTTTCCAAGTTCCAGCATCAGCCTGAAGTCTCATCATTTCATACGCTGTGGTTATTGCATTATATGCTCAGAGGATTCCAAGTTCTCATTAAATGTGATAGATGATCGGTAGGAAGAAAGACATGTAGCGAGAATCTCATGCATGCATGCACGTAGCTCTCAAACCAAATGAGCTTTTGTACTATATTACACTGGTGAATTTATCAAATGTTTACAGAGCTGAAGTGTTGTTTGTTTCCATTGTCTGTCACTGGTCGGAGCACAGAGGAGACATGAGGTTTATTAAAAACGTTTGTGACGCAACATAAATATTGACAAAAAATATAATGAAATGTTACTTGCAAAGCTGGTCCAGTGTCAAAATGGACAGGTGCATTATGCATTTTCTG